AGAGAGAGAGAGAGAGAGAGAGAGAGAGAGAGCATATAGAATATAAGCACAGAATATAGCGAACACAGAGAGAATACTCTATATAATTGTGTTACTATTTTAGGAAATATCTTTAGAGCTGTAGAGCAGTGAGAGATTTAGTTCATTGGAGTTCACATGGAAATGTCACTAGGTCATTCACAAAATACCATACAGACACACATACACTACATCACACAACACATACAGCTATTGCCTACCAGAAGTGCTACTGTTTTCATTGATCCACAATTGTATTTAATAACGTGTAGTATATTTCATCCCTTTCTCTCCATCACTATCTCTCGTTCATTCATTCATTCATTCATTTCCATGAAGGCGTCCCCCGCCCACCATATTCTACTATCCGGGCTCATAATCTAGCATCAAGGGCTCATTGTGCTCAAACATCAACACTTACACTCACGCACACACATGTACCATGGTTATTATCTATTAAATTATTGTCTATTGATACCAATTGAACTAATGCTTTTTACATTATGAAATTTCTCATTAAATTTACTGTTAAAAAATATTGGTATAAATAAAATTAGATTTATTGCGAAAATTTTATAATTAATTTATTAGCACTTAAAGCATTCAAAATAATGCAAAACACAAAATTTATATATAAATGAAAACTATAAAATTCTGTGCTATAATTCTTGGTAATGTATATATTCTTGTATTTCTATATACCAGTAGTAGTGAAGAGAAAAATAATACACAGAATCGAGAAAAGAGAAGGGCACAGAATATAGTGAACAACACACAGAATATTCTCTATATAAATGTGTTACTATTTATAGAAATATTTTCGCTGCTGTGCTAGAGATTGAGTTCAATAGAGTTCACGTGGAAAATGTCACTAGGTCATTCACAAAACAACACACTCACACCGTACACATACACACAACCACTGCATTACAACTGCCATCAAGTTTTCATTGATTATTCTCACAAACACTATCATAGCGTTTACTATTTTATCCCTTTCTCTCCATCACTATCTCTCGTTCATTCATTCATTCATTCATTTCCATGAAGGCGTCCCCCGCCCACCATATTCTACTATCCGGAAGCACAGCAGCGAAAATATTTCTATAAATAGTAACACATTTATATAGAGAATATTCTGTGTGTTGTTCACTATATTCTGTGCCCTTCTCTTTTCTCGATTCTGTGTATTATTTTTCTCTTCACTACTCTACTCTTTCTATTCATTCACTCATTTCATGAAAATTGCTTTTTAAGGGAAATAAAATTTTTCTCATTTGCCTCAAATCTTAATTCATAAAATTTTATTTTCCATAGAATATTGCATTTAATAGTTATTATTTGTAAACTTTTTATTTTTTATATGTTTTCCAACACCCGGTAAACTAAGTAATCCCACGTATTCTCGCTAAATATTTCTTCCGTTATTATTTACTAATACACTATTGAATTCAATTAAATTTTGTGAAAAATGTATTCATTAGAAAAACGCTAAATTTAAAAATGTTTTTATAGCAGAATTAATAAAATTTTATTTTGCAAAACAAAATGCTTTTGAGTCAATAGTAAGAGAAATAAAAAGTGTTAATTCAATAATATTTTTCAATATTAATAATAAATAAATTTTTATAAAAATAGAAATAAATTAATGAAAAGAGAAATCCATTGTCGATAACAAGAATTAAAATCCCACTTAAAAAGCAGTGAAAACTCTATGCATTCATTGCATTCTTTGACGCAATTAAACGTCTCATTAAACGTCAAAAACTCTGATTTTGTTTACGAGTTATAAAACTAAATCCAAAAACTAAACCAAAATATTCTAAATTTATATAAAACATTGTTTTTTCAAACTTTTCTTAATATTATTTATGTTTGATTTGAACTCAAATTCTCCGAAAAGGGCACTGAAATAGTACTTAATTCAACTCTATTCCTGTTTTTCGTTATAATTTTTATAATTAAATTTATTAATATTTTAATATAAAAAGTTGAAAAACAGTTTATATTTAAAATCCATAACAATTAATCCATTTAAGAACAATTTCATTTCAAATCAAATCCATTTCAATCTAAATCATTAATTCTTGTATTACCTTTACTGATAACTTCTGAGTGCATTTCAGTTAATTTTTTAATAATTATTTTTATCAAAAATAAAAGTAGAAAATACCGGCAAATATGTCAAGTTTGTCACATTTGGGAAATTCTTTCAGATTCCGATTTCTCTTATTTATACCGTTTCATTAATATAGCATATGATATACTTATTCACAAAATAAAAGATTTGGTTTTTACATTTTTCCCGATTGTGGTGGTCAGTGCGGCCATAACCGAGGTCATTTGACCATATATAGTATATCACTAGACTCTGTACAAAATGTACTTTCATTTTATCATAATAAATCCCGGATGAACTTTGGGCATTTTTTGAACCTAATTCTTTGTTAAACTTAATTAGCTAATTTTAATTATGTCATTGGCAAAAAAATTTTCGTTTTATTTTATTATTCAAACGTACATACATCAAACATGGATGTGATAGTATAGTTTAAATTACTTAATTTGAAACTTTACATAAAATTAAATAAATGCTAACATTATGCAACATATAAACTAATATTTTTTTACTAATTTCTTTTATCAAGAAGAAATTAGTAACTTTTAATACACTTCAATTCAATACACGTATATCAATTATTTCTAATAATAGTTTAATTATAAGTATAATCTAATGTAATATTATATGATTATTAGTTAATAACCAGATTATAAGTGTATTATTCAATTAATAATGTATTTTTTATAATGCATATTCAATATTACATATTTTAGCCGCAAAATTGAATTCAAATCAGTCAACATTTACTGTGAAATATGTTTTATGTTTACCACTGAAGCAAACGTATTGGACGTACAATGAAGTGAAGTTCGTCAGCAAAGAAGAGATCACTTCAATAATCCCCTTATCATTGATTAAAATCTTTTGTTATTTTTGAAAATAATGTTTAAATTTATTGAACGCAAAGATGATTAGTGGGAAAAAGTGATTAAAATTATTCTCAGAAATTAATTCAAATTACTTTTTTATTTTTGAAGCAAAAAACAAACTTGTTTTCGATATGCAGTACAACAATAGGTCATAATAAGCATAATGAAGATTATTAACCAATTTCTAATCAACAATAAGCATGTTTATTCAATATGTTTAGCTATATTTAAAATCTGATGGAAACTATATTTACTTCCATCCATTATATTCTGTGTATAATTTAATACAAAATATTTCTATTTATAGCTTATATACTGGTATTCTGTAGACACAAACAGAAGATGAAGAGAGAGAAAGAGAGAAAGAGAGAGAGAGAGAGAGAGAGAGAGAGAGAAAGAATATTCTATATATAGTGTTATATGTAGTTTTATGACTGCAATTCTTGCTCCGATTTGTCTAATTTAAAACTAATTTCAAGTTTCTATGTATTGATTGAGCCATTAATGCATGCTTTGTATTAATAAATTATTAATAATAATAGAAGAGATGGGTTACTAAAAATATGATCACTTTATTTTCAAATGGTTATTAATACGCGAATACATACAACAACACACTATTTAAACCAAACTCTATATAAATATCTTATTATAAATTGTAAGACTTTGCCGGAAGAAGCAGTTGCTATATTTGGTCGTAATATTGAAGAATAGGACACAAGAGTTGGCCAACACTTTGTTAGCCATACAGAGCACCCCTTCAATCAATTCATATGACAAACAATTATCTGCAAAACTAAATGATAATTAGGAGGAGATTTTGGTGAAGCGATGGCATAGGGATGGAGAGGGGCTGGAGTTGGGAATGTGGGGGCAGAGAGAGATTGCGAACGTAATTGATTAGTTGCCAACTCATACACACATTGAGTCTCATAGCCATTGCTGTGGTGTGTGTTGTGCTGTGTGTTGTGCGGACTGACTGTGCGTTTGGTTGGGCTGACTGTGTGTTTGGCGTTGTGTGCGATAACTCGTCACACACTCACAGCACTCGCAGACAGACTGTGTTATGTGTTGTGTTCTCGTCTCACATGTTTGGGCAAACAGTTGGTGCACTTCTCGCTCGTCAGTCGCCCTTCCCTTACGCTCACTACTGGTCGTCTCCGCTCTGCTATTGATTGTTGTTGTAATTAATATAACTATAATTACAAGTATTAACAATGGTTTGTGAATGAGTTGTGCGACAGTTAGGGAAGGATTGGTCGGTGTATTGCGGGCTCACATGTGAGATGTGCTGAGATGTGTGCGAAACGATAGACACAAAGTTGTAGTGAAAACTAGTGTTATTTTGGGGCAAAAGTGAATACACGAGAACTCGTTGTAACGTTGAATGCATTGCTGTTTCGTATTGAGAGGCGACTGTTATATCAAGTTTTGCTGTTTTGCTCACTAAAAGTATATACACTTCTCTCTATATATCGGTGTGTTTTGAGTGCGAAAAATAGTATTCAAGTTATTTTTGTTGTCAATATTATATATAAAGTGCTCTCAAATTAGACTTAAAACCGAGTCCTCAACTGTCGGGCTATTCGTCTCACAAATTGTTATATAACTCGGGTTTTGATCACATAATCATTACCGACGGCTCCTCACAGAGAACTGACCGCACAATCGGCCCAAATGTCGGACAAGGAAGAGGCCGCCCAACGCACCCCCTCTAGTGGTGGAGGGGGTGGTGGGGGACAGACACAGGTCCGCAATCATCGCAACTCATCCATGCGTTCATCCAATATCTCAGGGACCGTCTCGTCGGCGACCCAAAGGCCGCCGGACTTCCCATTAAGGTCTGTATCACTGGTTTTGCCGCAGCTTTCATACCATCCCATCGTTTATTTGCATTGCTTTTACACTTATTTTGCATATTAATTGTCTCTCTATTCACAGCTTAATTGATCTTATATTCACAGTATATATCTATGAGATTAACCATTAGTTTTAGTGTAAAAAAGATTTTATATTTGTTGAAAATCTTATATTTATATGTATTGTTTTTTTTTGTGGCGAAAATTATCTTTATTTTTACATTTTCTATCTGTTGTGTGAAATGAAATGAATTTTTTGTTTTTCAATATATATTTTTCTCATAAAAAAGTCATTTATATTACACATTAATTGATCGCTTTTCTCTCAATTGCATAATAATAGTAATAATGAGTACACTATTGATAGGAATAATGTATATTTTGCACATAACCTATCATTGGCTATCATTTGAACACATTTTGTGCCCATCTTTTAAATGCCTAAAACTATGCCATAAGTTATACATATATTTTTCACACAAATATTGGTGCAATTAGTTTATAGATTATGACCAGAATTGAGTTATATATTACACATACGAAAGCAATACAATGCTTACTATTCTGTGCTTTAATTGTGCGCTCAAAATGCATTACAATTGTGTATAATTCTTGATAATATTCTGTGTGCTAACTATTGTTGTGTTTGCAATGCATTTAAAACAATATACGTATGATTGGTCACAGAATCCTAGTGTTGAGCGATATGGTGGGTGCGATAATCGGTCGGTCCGGGGGCACAATCAAGCAGATCACTCAACAGACGCGGGCGCGCGTAGACGTGCACCGCAAAGAAAATGCCGGCGCTCTCGAGAAAGTGATCACTATTTACGGCAATCCCGACAACTGTTCCGAAGCGTGTCTCAAGATTCTCGAAGTGATGCAAACGGATAGCTATATTTAAAATCTGATGGAAACTATATTTACTTCCATCCATTATATTCTGTGTATAATTTAATACAAAATATTTCTATTTATAGCTTATATACTGGTATTCTGTAGACACAAACAGAAGATGGAGAGAGAGAGAGAGAGAGAGAGAGAGAGAATATTCTATATATAGTGTTATATGTAGTTTTATGACTGCAATTCTTGCTCCGATTTGTCTAATTTAAAACTAATTTCAAGTTTCTTTGTATTGATTGAGCCATTAATGCATGCTTTGTATTAATAATAGAAGAGATGGGATACTAAAAATATGATCACTTTATTTTCAAATGGTTATTAATACGCGAATACATACAACAACACACTATTTAAAATAATTTGTAAGACTTTGCCGGAAGAAGCAGTTGCTATATTTGGTCATCATATTGAAGAATAGGACACAAGAGTTGGCCAACACTTTGTTAGCCATACAGAGCACCGCTTCAATCAATTCATATGACAAACAATTATCCGCAAAACTAAATGATAATTAGGAGGAGATTTTGGTGAAGCGATGGCATAGGGATGGAGAGGGGCTGGCGTTGGGAATGTGGGGGCAGAGAGTGATTGCGAACGTAATTGATTTGTTGCCAACTCATACACTCTCATAGCCATTGCTGTGGTGTGTGTTGTGCTGTGTGTTGTGCGGACTGACTGTGCGTTTGGTTGGGCTTTGGTGTGTGTTTGGCGTTAGTGTGCGATAACTCGTCACACACTCACAGCACTCGCAGACAGACTGTGTGTTATGTGTTGTGTTCTCGTCTCACATGTTTGGGCAAACAGTTGGTGCACTTCTCGCTCGTCAGTCGCCCTTCCCTTACGCTCACTACTGGTCGTCTCCGTTGCTCTGCTATTGATTGTTGTTGTAATTAATATAACTATAATTACGAGTCTTAACAATGGTTTGTGAATGAGTTGTGCGACAGTTAGGGAAGGATTGGTCGGTGTATTGCGGGCTCACATGTGAGATGTGCTGAGATGTGTGCGAAACGATAGACACAAAGTTGTAGTGAAAACTAG